TAAGGGTGTACACCTCCCTCATATGAGGGTAGGACTCACTTGTATAAAATAGGATCTTACTACATGTACATCAAGGATTACATAATAGGTTACATAATGCCACATGTCATTCTCATTTGTCAGTTTGAAACACGGTCAATTTTTTCATCAAATCATTTTCTCCTACATGTAATCTTTTATGTACAATTTTTATGTACAAGTAACAAAATTCTATAAAATATTTTTTTATTCAAGCGGGTCTCACCCCCATGTGAGGGGGGGTGTACACCCCTATATACATGGTGATGTACCACTAGCAAAATCGTTATAAAAGAGACAAGTAATTAACAAGTTTGCTAGTGGTAAATCACCATGTATATAGAGGGTGTGTACACCCTCCTCATATGGGGGGTGAGACCTCTTGCATAAAAAAAATATTTAATACAAGTGGATCACACTCCCATGTGAGGGGAGTATACACCCTTATGTATATTTTTTGATGTACAAATAGAATTATTCAATAATTAATGGAAGTTTTTCTTGCGTGGATTACACAATGGTCAGATTTTCTATAACATTCAAATTGAAGTAATATTAATTTGAATAGGTATAAGATGATTCACCACACTTTTTGTCAAGACTGTAGGATCTTTTTAGCGGTTTTGAAAATGTCAACAAACTCAATCTTGAACAAAATGGTCTTCCCAGTTATAAAAGAATAGGTAATTGCTGCAAAACGTAAGTATCATTTATTGTTTTGCACAAATTGTTCTTTTCTTTTAATTCATTTGTGTCATGAGAAATTTTCATAAATTTCACTAAATTTGAAAATTCAAAAAAATTGTCATTTTCACTTTTTATGAGTAAAAAGTCACTTTTTTGGTGCAAAATATCCAAATTATCCTTAATACCATATTTTTATGAGAAATGTTTGATTTAAATGTAATTAATGTTGTGATGTGATAATTTACTTTAAATATTATAAAAATTGTTTAAATGTATATTATATTGAGTAATATGAGTTTTCTTTAAAAAAAAAAGAGAAAA